TTTATGGAAACCTGGAAAAAAAAATTTGTAGTTCATTCAGAAGCGGCTCTCATGCAACATTTTCAGTTTTAGATGCATGCCTGGCCTAGTTTTCTCCAAGAAATTGTCGAGAATTTTACCATGATGAATAATTAATGACCACTTGGTGGTTAAAAATCAAGAATCATCTATAATGCTAAGCTACTGTTATTAGTTTTTGTTTCTGTCAACCCAGGATCGATTGAATAAGGATCTTACCTAAATCCTGCCAAACAGAGTTTCAGTTGGATGTTGACATTATTTCATTGCTCATGAGGACTGTTTGAAATTGTTACACCAGTGGCCAGATTGGTCTCATTTTGGATTTCTTTTCCTTCTCATTATGAATATCTTCCCTTCGCTTCTCATCAAGCTTTGGCAAATTGCAGGAATTGTAACTGGAAGCACTTCTACATTTCTAGCTGCTGCATTTCTAATATTCAAATGCAAGAAGAGAACTTCAGCAATCTTCAGGCCACTCTATTTCAGAAAGAATTCAGCTACAGAGCGGAGAGAAAATGCAAAGCAATTCATTAAGGACTATCAGTCAATGTTATTGACCAACTCCTCATACAGTGATATCAAGAAGATGACCAATGGCTTCAAAGAAAAATTGGGGGAAGGAGGATATGGCAGTGTTTACAAGGGAAAATTGGCTGATGGTCGGCTTGTTGCTGTCAAATTGCTTGAAAATTACAAAGACAACCACAATTTCATCAATGAAGTCGCCACCATTGGAAGGATCCACCATGTCAATGTTATAAGGTTGTTGGGTTTCTGTTGGGATGGCTCGAAACAAGCTCTTCTCTATGAGTTCATGCCCAATGGATCTGTGGGGGACTTATTGTCCAAAGAAGAGATAAAACTAACACTCGGATTGGAAAAATTGCTTGAAATTGCCATAGGAGTTGCACATGGCATAGAGTATTTACATAATGGGTGTGACTCAAGAATCTTGCATCTTGATATAAAACCTCAGAATGTCTTGCTAGATCTGAATTTCAATCCAAAAATTTCAGATTTTGGATTGGCGAAACTATATTCTCGAAATCGAAGTGCTGTCACCATGACAGGTGCAAGAGGAACAATTGGTTATATTGCTCCTGAGATATTTTTGAGAAATATTGGGAATCCTTCTCACAAATCTGATGTTTATAGCTTTGGCATGCTGTTATTAGAGATGGTTGGAGGTAGGAAGAATGTCAAAGCAGATATGAGCAGTTCAAGTGAAGCTTACTTCCCCAATTACGTATATGACAAGCTCATTGAAGAGAAGAATATGGAGCTTATGGATTCTGTAGTAGGAGAAGTGTTCTTAGTGAGGAAGATGGTAATGGTGGGATTATGGTGCATTCAAATAAATCCTAAGGACAGACCCTCGATGACAAGGGTGGTAGAAATGTTGGCCGGAGATGAGGAAGCCATTGAAATACCTCCTAAACCCTGTTTCTTCTCTCCTCCTCTCGTGCCATTTGAGCACAACATTGCTTCCACTGAAAGTGATACCAGTGTCCTGCCCCTCGCATCAGATAGCCATGAAATGTAACTTCAATGCAACCCAAAAAGAATTGCTTCAATAAGTTGCAAGGATGCCAAGGACCAATTCAACACGGTAAAGATGCTTGCAGAATGAAGCATTTTCTGAGTTCAATCAAAATGGATTAATTAGAGGTATGGATGTATAGGCACAAAGAGCTGAAAACAAGTGGCAAATTATACAGTAGAAAACATAGTATCATTTTTTTTGTGTACACTTGTGTATCATTGTATCACTAGTATAGTGCATCTTCAGACTACGAAGAGAGATGTATCACTATTACAATGTATCTTGGACTACAATAAGATATGTATTAATATTACAATTAGTTCCAATCGGTCTCTATGCTATAGGCGACGAATGAATACCCAAAGAAGGCCAGGAAAAAAAGTGACAAGGGAGGGCACCTAAATAATACAAAAATTGACCTTATAGGATTCTAATTTCCATAAAAATTAAATTTTCAATATATCTAATTTTCATAAAAATTATCTAACTAATATGTTCAATATTTTAATCATCTCCTAATGAGAGACATTAGTTGTCTTCGACCAAAAAGTCCCAAAAGGCTTTTATGTTATAGTATATATAAATTTTGAATCTTTTTTTTATAAAACTTTCAATGTCGAACATCTCAATTAACACACTTTTCAATATCAAACAATTTTATTAAGCCACACCTAATGGTAATTAGCTAAAAACATTCATGGTAATTACAACAATCGTCTCAAGTCTTTTATTTAGAGCATCTATAACCCTTACATTTTTCTAAACTCAAAACTATACCAAATAAAGAGATATTTAAATGTGTATCCAAATTAAGAGAAACTCAAATCTTTATTCAAATCACCAATAGTTATATTTCATTATCCTTTAAATATCTAATAGTCATATTTCTATCTTCATTTAAATTTTAAATTAGCAATGAACTAATCATAACCCGTATCTGAAGGCACTATGAAACATAAGATTCTAGCATTCAAAAAATTGATCCCACTATGCTAAATTTAAAATTAATTTCTTTGCACATCATTTAAAATTAATTTATACTTATTATTTTATTAAAAATAAAGTCAAATTTTTTTCAAAATATATAACTCGATATAATTTTTTAATATGTGCATATTATTGTGTATGATTAATGTATGCAATAAAATTTGTGTTAAATTACATATTAAATAATTCAACATGTGATAAAATTAGGTAATGTGATATTTTTTGAGGGAAAAATGTATAGGGGATAAAATTTAACTTGCTAACTGATTTATTATATAGACGTTATGTTTACCAAATTTCTTGTCAAGTCTTTCATCTCAAATGATATGACACAATCTTTATCATTGAATATTAATAAAATTTATTTATTTGATGATAAAAATTATGCCACATCATTTTTAGATGAAAAACTTAGTAAGAGATATTTGTCCACATAGCATTCTTGCATGTAAATTTGAGTTTGTCGTCTTTTCACTTAAAATTTTTTTATTGAAGTGTTTTATATGAATCAAGTTTTTTTTTATTCAAATGGTGACTTAAATTTGAATAAAAATTTAAGGTAAAGTTGGAAATGTTTCGAGCATTGTAGCCCTTACCATTTTTTGTACCAAAATTTAAATTTAGATAAAAATAGTCTAAAATATTTCTCCAATTCTAAACTCATACTCATACAAAATATTTTTTTAAAAAAATTCAAATTAAGAGAGACTCAAATCTATACTAAAAAATTTAATGGTAAGATTTTATAATTCTTTAAAGATTTAATGGTCATATTTCACTATTTTTAAATTTGAGTTTATCTTCGTTTAAATTTGTTCATTAGTTTATACCAAATTAATTTTTTTACATTTTTTTATTCAAATATGAATAAATGTTTAAGTTTGCAGATGGTCTTCTACGTGGGCAAATATATATAGATTTTATAAAACATTGTTCTCCGGCCCAAAATAAACATGGTGGTCACCCACTTCCTCTCTCTTCACAGCGTGTAAATTTCGAAAACCCCTAATTTAATATGCATATTATTTGTAGATCTTAGATTTTTGGACTTTGATAATTATACAATAATATAATTTAGGGTTAATCGTAAATTATACTCTAAAAAATCGTTCAAATTTTAATTTATACCCTCAAATATAAAAATTCTCAATTTTCACCATAAAATATAGAAATTTGTATTAATGTGCACCTAAAACTAACCGCCGTTAGTTTACTGCCTAAAACTAAATTAATAAATTATATCTAGATCTCTCATGCTTGTCACTTAATCATTTGGAACCCATTACAAAATAAAGGGTAATATAAAATTATAATTTTTTATTAGAATAAAATCATATTTTTTAACAGTTATAAAATCTTAATAAAAATACTCTCAATCTAAAATGTCCCTTAATTGGATATTCAAATAATTATGCTTAAGTGATATCTTGCATTGGGTATAAAAAATATATATAATAAAATAGGAGTGTGTTTGAATTTTATCCCAGTCATATTTTTTCCCTCAAAATTATCACCAATCACTTATCTCACCCATCATCCATTTGTTAGACTCAAACTTCAAATCACATAACTTATTTCTATCATATGTTTAATCATTTATATATTTATTCCCTAAAAATATCACATCATTCATTTCTATCATATATTTAATCATTTAATATTTGATTAATTTGTAGTTAATATATTTTTTAAAAAATTAATAAAATGAGTTTGATTTTTTGGATGTTTGAATTTTATATTTTATACGGGTTATGACTAGTATTATATATTATTGGACATTTATATAGTAAACTTGATTTTAAACTTTAGAATATATCGAACACACAAAATAAAGAGTACTATAAAATTATAATTTTTTATTATGACAAAATCAAATTTTTTTAACAGTTATATTAACAGATACCAACGAAAAGGGATTACGCGTTATATGTGCACGAATGTCATGATATGTAGGAATAATATATACGAATTATGACTAGTATTGTATATTATTAGACATTCAAATAATAAACTTGATTTTAAACTTTAGAATATACCGAACACACAAAATAAAGAGTAATATAAAATTATAATTTTTTATTATGATAAAATCATATATTTTTTAACGGTTATATTAACAGATATCAACGAAAAGGAATTACGTGTTATATGTCCACGAACGTCATGATATGTAGGAGTAATATTTTAAATGTGAAGGGGTCCAAATGATTAAGTGACAACAAGAATGAGAGGATTTAGGTATAATTTATCAATTTAATTTTATGGTGTAAATTAAGATTTTTGATTTTTGGGGGTGCACATTGATATAAATTTTTATCATTAAGGGCATAAATTGAGATTTTTTATTTTTTGGGGTATAAATTAAAATTCGAATGATTTTGCAATTAACCCTATAATTTATTCCAAGAAAAAGACAATAATTTTTGAATTTCGTGTGAAAATCTTGATGGGTTTCTCTTTGAACTTCCTCGGTTTGTAGATTTGCAGACAAGAAAGTTTCAAAGAGATTGCAACTCGTTTTGGGTTTGGTGGTGGCGGTCCAGAGAACTCAGCTGTAAAAGTTCTATACATAGAGAAAGAAAGGAATTAGGGGGGGGAGAGAGAAAAAGGGTTTATGAGTGGTTCAAAGATGGAGGGGTCATCGACCCCGTCGGTTTGGAGAGACCCATATGAGGTATTGTCTGTGTCTAGGGATTCTTCTGATCAGGAGATTAAAACTGCTTATAGAAAGCTTGCTCTCAAGTAAGTTATTTCCATGTCAATTCCTTCTTTTCTGGATTTTGCTTTACACAGCCTCTTGTATGTTTCTTGAAAAGTAAAAAATTGGACAATTGGACTCTGGATTATGGCTTATGAAGCGTATATTAGGTTTTTTTAGGGCTTGTGATTGCTAAATTTGGGACAGTTGAATTCATTTACAAGCTTAATTGTTGCTCAATGTTTATTGGTTAAAATCTAATAATGGGTTTTAGGAATTGAAAAAATTAATGTACTATCAAGTATGTGTTTATACGACCTTGCGATTGCAAAACAAGGGGTAACTGAGTTTAATCAAAATCCAAATTCTTCCCCATAGAGCTGTGTTTTTATCGTGAAATGATGGGTTTCAGGTGTTGAAATGGGAATTTAGCAACACACTAGTCTAAACTTGATATAATTAACAAGATGGAATTTTACTTTTGATTATGATTGTGATGTGCTTTAATTGTTGTGTGTTGTGGAAATAATTCTTGGAAGGAAGTTGGAAATTGAATGTTTTAAGTTACTTTTAAGTTGTGTGTGTCTCATGCATTATTTTAATTTTTAGAGCTTCTCTATCACTTTAAAATTGTATTATTCGAGGTGCATTTGCAGTATTCTTGCTTTCCTTTTTCTCAATAAAAAGTTACTGTACCCAAATTGTTGAATTTGCAAGCATATTTTCGCAGTTGTGTTTAAATTGCTTCCATCAACATTACAACTTTCTCAATCTAAGTAGTGAGAGTGATGGTGGCAATGATGATGAGAAGCATAATAGTCTTCTATTGTTGTCATTGAATGGATAGATAAATTGTTTATGAACAGATATCATCCTGATAAGAATGCTAGCAATCCTGAAGCTTCCGAACTTTTCAAGGAGGTTGCATATTCTTATAGCATTTTATCAGATCCGGAGAAAAGACGGCAATATGATACTGTTGGGTTTGAGGTAGTCTCCTTCCTTCTCTAGTTACTAGACATTCTGTTGTAAAATGGATTATTTGTATTGTAACTACCTCTAGATGCATTTCTTTTATTCTTAAGTTAATACGATGAAAAAATGGAAGGATAGATAAAACATCATGTTTCCTAAGGGTGGAAAAAGAAAAGGAAAAGGAAAAGGAAAAGGTTTAGCCTTCCTTCCAACTCATCAAAATCTATCCCCTTAAAATTGGGAAGAAAAATAGAAAAAAAATTTAACTATGTGTGTTAAAATGTGTATTATTTACTTTTATATCCCTTCATGTGTATATATCTTATTTATATACTATTTTTTATGTGGGCATTAATTTCATATATAGATACAATGTTAAAATATGCATTTATACTTTTTTCTTTCTTCCATTTTTTCTTCTATTCCAAATAAAAAAAAAATTTAATCTTTCATTTTTTTCATTCCTCCTATCAAACACAAAGGAGGAAAAAAAAGATTCCTCCCTTGAAACTTGAAAGATAGAAAGTGTATCACTCCTACTTTTCATCCGCTCTACCTTTAATTTGTTCTTTACTTTCTTTTCAAATATCCGGGAAAAAAATCATTCCCTTCTACTTAGATAATTTCAATGGCGATGGCTAAGAATGTTGATATTTATTTAAAGATTTCACATTCCATTTATGGAAAGTTATTCTAGAAAAATAGCGTTTTATGGAGGACTAAAAATACACCAAAATTTGTTTGAAAATTCAGGGATTTCATTTGTTTGGTGTTAAACTCAATGAGAATATTGATAGATCTTCTTTACTTGTCTCTTTTTGCCTCCCTAGCCTAGTCGTATGGACTAGTCACTATAGCTTCCTTATATCAATGACCTCCTTAATCAATTGTTCTCAGTGTTGTACTAATGTGTTCTTTATGATTATTTGCTTTACTCTTATCTACTTATGAGTTGTCTTAGACACTATATGTTAAAAGGGTTAGAATTAGAGTCGACTGCATAGAGATTGAGACTTATCAATATGTTGTTGTAAGTTTATGATAAAAGGTCGAGAAACGGGGGAGTGTCTTGTTTAGAGTAGATGGAAGCGATTGGTGATTAATAATAATAAAAAAATGATTGATGATTAATAGAAGCAGGAGTGAATTGTTATAGTTCATATTGGTATAACAAGGATTGACATCGGTACAGATTATTACTAAAGCTAAGGAATTATCCCAATGGCAAGGGCCCAAACTGGCATTTTGGATATGCCAGTTTGGGCCTCAGATTCTCCCATTTGGAAATAAATGATATAAAATTATGTTCTCAATAGTAGCAATATGTCTTTCCTATGGTTCTTACTGATATCTTTCAAAAAATGTTTGCAATTTCATATATAAGTAGCTATATATCTATACATATTGTTAAAACATATGAACATTTGTTAAAAGGTTAAGAGTCAATGCCATGATTTGGAGTGTGCTTCAAAATTGAGATGAGTCGACTGATAGACTATTAAGAGATAACCATTGTCTTTGTGGACATTGAGAATCGATCTGAGAGGCGACACTTACAAGAAATCTAGGCACGATGTATGTTAATTAGGGGTTGAATTGATGGAAAAGTTATACATGAACCGGTGCCTATATGGTATCCCTACAAATTTATTCTCATTTTATTTAATTTTTTATGTCAAGCATATTTTGCTGGTTTCTAGATCTGCTGTTGCTGTAGTGATAGTCCATGAGTTGTATATTCTGTAAGCTTAAGTTATTTAGACATTGTTGGGAGTCCTATGTACTCCAATAGTACTAGATTCTAAGTTCCCTACTTTGCAGTCCTTAGAGTAGCTGTTGAAGTCTCTTAGACTGTAATAGGTACGCAACGTCTTCAACTCTACANAGTGATAGTCCATGAGTTGTATATTCTGTAAGCTTAAGTTATTTAGACATTGTTGGGAGTCCTATGTACTCCAATAGTACTAGATTCTAAGTTCCCTACTTTGAAGTCCTTAGAGTAGCTGTTGAAGTCTCTTAGACTGTAATAGGTACGCAACGTCTTCAACTCTACAGAGATCCACTATGAGAGAAGAGATTATAATCATGTGCTTTGCAAGAGGTTGACCCTAGTTCTGAAAATAGCACAATTTGGACCTTTGTTACCTTTTGTGGAGGGTTGTTCAAGCCCCCAAAAAGTCTTAAACATTGGTGTTCCATGTAAATGTTGGGGGGTCAGCATTTGAGCATGCCTTCTATGTGCATATGATACTTGATGTCTTGTTAGTACCTAATTGCATTCCCTGCATGCTTGGTTGACGGAGACCAAATTGTGTAATTACTTTTTTTAGACCTGCACCATTAAAATCCATATTTTTCNTGTTCAAGCCCCCAAAAAGTCTTAAACATTGGTGTTCCATGTAAATGTTGGGGGGTCTGCATTTGAGCATGCCTTCTATGTGCATATGATACTTGATGTCTTGTTAGTACCTAATTGCATCCCCTGCATGCTTGGTTGACGGAGACCAAATTGTGTAATTACTTTTTTTAGACCTGCACCATTAAAATCCATATTTTTAGTCTCATATGGAGTAAAAATCAGGTGCGTGATATTAAAATTGAGTGAGAATTTGTGGGAGAGTGTTCCCCTCACTTGTTTTGAATCCTAAGTAGATCAAATGAGGTTAGAGTTTCTTTTTTTAGTTGTATATAATTAATCAAGGCTAACGAGACTATAGTTGAGCACATTCTAAGCATAAATTGGAAGGTATATAGAAAATATTGTCCCCATGATTGGGTTCGTCCCATTTGACGTTGGCCTAGGTACTTGGGACAAAAAGTGGAGAGCACAAAACCTAGTAGAATCATGTTTGTAATTAGCTAATTTTGTAAATANATAAATTGGAAGGTATATAGAAAATATTGTCCCCATGATTGGGTTCGTCCCATTTGAAGTTGGCCTAGGTACTTGGGACAAAAAGTGGAGAGCACAAAACCTAGTAGAATCATGTTTGTAATTAGCTAATTTTGTAAATATTAACCCATTACATGGTCATGATGTTACAATGTTGAAAATTCGAAAGTGTCAATAGAAGGGTGGAGATTGTGCTTCAAGCTACATCAAAAGACTCTCCGTATGCACCTTCTTGCTTAGGACAAAGATAATGACCTAGAAACCTTAATACCCTTGGTTTAATTTATTAGATTTAGGTTGATAGATTAAATAGAATTGGTGATTGTTCCGTTAATGACTCCTAGGTGTTTTTAAAGAAAAGTTTTTTTAAATCTTAAATATGTTTTTTTTTGGTCAAATCCTTAAATGTGTTTTAAAAATGTAAATTTGAGTTATTAATCGGACCACACTTGAGCAACACTCTTTAGTGCTCAAGGGGACAAGTTCTTATTTGGTTTCTAACTTAAAAATCAGTAGGGACCGCCCTATATTCGCATTGTTCACTAGAGCAGTCTCTAAACACTTGGGTCGTGTTTGGCTAGACAAGTGGGATTGGATTAGATTGGAATTTGAAGTCCAATCTCATCCAAACCAATCCAAAGTAAGGCTAGCCAATGGAGGAAAAAAATATATTTTTCCATCCAATCCTCCATTTGGATATTATTTTTGTGAAGTGTGGCCCCCATGCTCTAACCCACTTGAATGATTGTTGAAGTCACATCAATTTGATTCTAATTTATCATGATATCCTTTAATTTAAGTCAATCCAAGTCTATATCACTGACAAACACGTCATTTTACATCACAATCCTGTTAGTTGCATTTCAGCTCATTTTCTATCCCACCTTTTGGTGGGTTAAAATTATCACACATAGGTGGGTTATAGGGTACTATAGATGTCGGGTCCTGGATAACTCGAATTGGTTATCCCCTTGGTAAATAATTTTTCCAAATTTGGGATATGTGGGACCCTTGAGTAATTTATCCCTATTCCTCTTTTTTATCTACATTTATCCAAGCAAACAAACACCCTCTTAGAGATAAAATCGAAAAAGGCTAAACGAGTGGATAGCAAACACCGTCCTTTGGGTCTCTTTTATCACTCAAGCGGTTATGAAATCACTCAAGTTAGGGCTGTTAAAATCTGACACGACACAAATTAAACGGGTTTGGGTGAGACTTTAATGGGTTTGGGTGAGACTTTAACGGGTTCGGGTGGTAAACGGGTTGATCCGTCATACACTTTTAATAAACGGATCGTGTTTGGGTGAGAGACATGTCAATCCGTTTATGACCCGTTTAAATAAAATTAATATAATAATAAATTAATATTTATTTTAAAAATGTCTATAAGTAGCAAAAAAGAAAAACATTTCATGTAAGTTTTTTTTTCCACAGTAAATAAAAGAGAAGAATTAGAAGGAAAAGAGAATAAAACTAGAGTCTTTCACTATGGCCTTATAGGAGTCTCAACTTNGTCAATCCGTTTATGACCCGTTTAAATAAAATTAATATAATAATAAATTAATATTTATTTTAAAAATGTCTATAAGTAGCAAAAAAGAAAAACATTTCATGTAAGTTTTTTTTTCCACAGTAAATAGAAGAAAAGAATTAGAAGGAAAAGAGAATAAAACTAGAGTCTTTCACTATGGCCTTATAGGAGTCTCAACTTTAAGATTTAAGCGGAGTCTCACTATCAAAAGAAGTAGAAATATACAGAAACTTCTACTCCTCAACATACCTTGAATGTGAATAGGTATCCTCAAGTTCTTTGACTACCATATTCTTCTCATAGATGTTGTTGGTGAAATTTGGTTGNTAAGATTTAAGCGGAGTCTCACTATCAAAAGAAGTAGAAATATACAGAAACTTCTACTCCTCAACATACCTTGAATGTGAATAGGTATCCTCAAGTTCTTTGACTACCATATTCTTCCCATAGATGTTGTTGGTGGAATTTGATTGTTTTGGATTGTAGTTTGTACTTTGTAATATGGTGTGATATCTCTAAATATCACATTTTTTTGTGTTAGTTTGTTAGTTTTATAAAGTTATATAGTATTTTAAAAAAAAAGGTAAATGGGTCTAACAGGTGGTTTACCGTGTTAATCCAACCCTACTCAACACTTATCGTTTAAAGTAAGCGGGTTAAATATGTAGTGTCGTGTTACTCATTTATTAAACGGGTTGTGTTGAAAATATTCACCCGTTTATTAAACGTGTCGTTTACGGGTTTACATATTTTTCATCTGTCGCCCGTTTAACCCGACACGTAACCGTTTAACCCAATACGTTTGATACTCCTAACTCAAGCGGTCTCTACTCTCGTGCCTTGCTCTCCTAATGTTCGAATAATTGTGCATGAATTTGTATTTTCTTGGTCCCCAATACAAACCGTATTCTGAGCCTATAAATAGAGAGCACCTTCCCAAGCTAGAGTATCTTTCTTGTGAAATAATTTTCTTGTGCTAACCTTGAGAGATCATAGAGCAACTTTAGATCCCTAAATCTAGACGGCTAAAACCCATCTTGGGATTCCTACCTAACATCACACATTAGAGAAGAAAAAATTGCATGGTTCTACCAAACCCACTTGAAGAGTGTGCATACGGAGATTCTTGGGTGCGTCCTAGGAGTGCTCAAGTCAAGAACTAAACGAACCATGCGGTGAAGAGTTCAAGTAAAACTATCCACGACATCGGTAGATGTATCTGGTGGAGAGATCTGTTGAAATAAAGGAGTGTCTATCTATGGTATTAGTTGAGATATAAGACTCAAGTACTCGTAGATTGATTGTGGGATAGTGGGTTAGGTTTTTGGTGAACCTTGAGTGGTGAGTTGTTTCCTGCGGTTTTTCCAGAGGAGAGTTTCCGCGTCAACAAATCTCTTATGTTCTTTATTGCTTTATTTGATACATTTGTGATTTGTAGCACGCACGGCACTATGTGTTTGATTTTATGATTATGTGAATGTTTATATCATCCATAGAAGTTTGGTAGTGAATTTTTCTTGGACTAATCAATGTCAAGTTTTGTGGCATTTCTGATGGTCCTTACTTTTGGTTATAAAATTATGTAAGGCTTTTGATGCTGATGGCATGGATATGGAAATTGATTTATCCAACCTTGGAACCGTTAATACGATGTTTGCGGCATTATTCAGGTGATCTCCTTTTCAAAAGCTTTTAGTATTATTGCAATCCATATAGTCCCTCATTGTTTTTCCCCTTTTCAGCAAGTTGGGTGTCCCCATCAAGACTACTATTTCTGCCAACATACTTGAAGAGGCTTTAAATGGAACTGTCACAGTTAGACCTCTTCCAATTGGGACATCTGTCAGTGGAAAGGTGCACAATTTCTGAACCAGGATAAGGCCTTACTCTTCTGGTGTACTACCTTTGCTTAATTAAGCCTCATTACAGGTAGAAAAGCAATGTGCCCACTTCTTTGGTGTGACTATTAGTGAGGAACAAGCTGAGGCAGGGGTTGTAATTAGAGTTACATCAGCTGCACAAAGCAAATTTAAGGTTGATTTATATAAAGAACTTTTGGAATATCTTGCCTGCAATTCGTAATGTGAAATAAGCATGTGTATGTGTGTGTGTGTTGTGTTGCAAACTGGAATACTGACAGCTGATTTTATGTAATTCCAGCTCCTTTATTTTGAACAAGATGCAAATGGAGGCTACGGTTTGGCATTACAGGTAGTATATAAAACTCTGTTATTCTTTTTGATTGCACTTTTCTGTTTAAGATCAATGACACTTGTCTTCTTCTTCTGCTGCTGCTGCAGCACATTTTTTTAACAAAATGAGCAAAGTCATTAGTTAAATTAACATTCTTGCATGGGTGTACAAATCTTACTTTGTTGCTTTTTTCCTCGTAATTGTCTGTTACTTATTTGGAAGGGACAGCCTCCCAATGGTGAAGTTTCCCCAACATTTGGAGGATGCTCCCCACCAACCAGTCACTACCTTCAAGGCATTTGTCATTGAATATACCTCCTCTTTTCTCATCTGCCCCATGAGATGTAGAAAAAAGACTCTGAAATGCTTCATATCCTGTGATCTGTGAGGAGCATAGAATCCCCAAGTGGCCTTCGCTTACTTCTGTGTAACCTATTATCCTCCATCACAGTCAGCTGTTTAGCCTGATTAATTTCCCCAACCCTATTAATCACGATCCTCACTGTCCAGTATTCGTAATTACGGATTAGTTCTTTGCAAGGTCATCAGATGGATATACTGATGAGTGATGTCCTGTACTAAATTATGACACCTGAACTTAATCTAACCAACTGCCCAAAACCCTTCTCAGTGATTATCGAGATTTTAGACCATGTATCATTGGTCCCATTTTAATATGCTTAATGATATTCTTGATATATATAATCAATTTATTTCAACTGTGATGGTCTGAAGCGCTCAAATGACAGGACCGCTCATGAAACTCCTTTCTTTGGTTTCTGGACCAAAACAATACCATTTTATTCTTCCACCTCCTACATCACTTCTACTACTTCAACTTCATTCGTTCTCTTATCCTTTGCTAAAAATCTCACATGAAGGTCCTCAACCTTATGCCCTCTTGTCACTTCATGAAATTAACTGTTTTTCATTAGTCTAAACTTTAAAGCATCTAGACTAATTGCAAGAATGAAGGCCCTTGGGCCTTAGCCATCTTGATTCTCAATCTCATCTTTGGTACGTTCTCTTTGTTGGTCCCTCAAATAGGGTTGTAATTGGATCAATTTCGATGCGGATCTAGTACCTTATGCAAAGTCCCTGTTCTCNGCTCTCTCTCTCTCTCTAAAGTTTCCATCTTGGTGTGCCATGCATTAATAACCTAAGAAGCACGAGATGGACATGGATACGTTGACATAGATTTTTTCAAAAAAGTAGGACATGGACACAACGTGGGGCACACTAAATATTGTGTACTTATTTATTTATTATATAAACGGGCACGTAATAAAATAGTAGCATTTTCAATCAAATTAAGAGTGGAAAAATCCACTAGTCATAAGAGGTCATCTATCAATAAATATATCTTAATGAGCCGGACAGCTTATCAAGATGGAGGAGATTATTTTCATTGGTAAAGGAGTGTTGAGCTTCTCCATTTTCTCATAAATCTAAATTTGGTAGAGCACTAAGTAGCCCTGATTTCCCTCAATTTATGGGCATACAAATAGTGTATTTTTTTTTTTCATATTTAATTGTGTTGCCCCTATTTTGTGGTCATATCTGGAATTATTTTGTATCTATGTCCATGTCCCGTGTCTGTATTAATTATAAATCTTTTCATATTACCTTTTTGGCCCATAAATTTTTTAAATTACAAAAATAATTTCTTTATGTAGGGAGTTACTCGACAATTTTTAAGGAATTTGAAGAAAAAATATCCAAAACGTATCCTCTGCGAGTTCGCAATGTGTCGGTTGCATGTCCCTAGTGTGTCTGGGCAGAAAATTAAAAAAAAAAAATTCACTCATTTTAGCGTGTCTGTATTCCAGACGTGAGACATTGGCCTAAACAAGGTGTTTGTGCTTCCTAGTTAATAACTATGCGTGTGTGGGCTTTTGTTTGAAACATGTTTCAATTCTATGTTGGAAATTCTCTCCCTTTTTTTTTCATCCTCTAGTTACTAGTCTCGAGTAAAACCATGGGTTATAATTGATCCTCCAATTGTAAATTACTTTTAACAAGTCGTATTTCTTTTGGTTAGGAAAAGGCATAACTCTACTAATGACTTTTTGCCTTTATCTTTATTCTTACTGATACTAGTTTTTAGTTACATACTCTGAATCTTTTAGTAGACACTATTATATAGTAAAAATCGTCATTTTGGGCTTGTGGAAAACAGGTTGATGAACTGTTAAAACAGAGAGACACCATCCATTCTTCATTCACTGTCACTAGGTCAGTCATTAGTAGTAGTGGGAGCGGTCATTTTAGTAATGGAAGTAGCAGCAAAGTTCCTGGTGAAGATTTTAAGGCTGAGAGCCCTGGGGAAGATGGAAGCTCAGATGGGAAGGATAAATCTACCAAGAAAAAATGGTTCAATCTTAACCTGAAAGGGTCTGATAAAAGGGCAAGTTGAAATTGTTTGGTTACTTTACTTGTATTGTTGGAAAAGCTTGGAATTCATACTTGTGTTCAAACACGAGCCACTGGTTTGCCGCCTGCTGAAGGCTCGCGATGTATTCCTTATTGATTTGCTCTCTACTCTGGGTTCTCCCCAAGGTTTTTTTTTTGTTTATGGCTTGTTATGATTCATTTCTGCGAAATGTTAAAAAAAATATGAAGGTTTGTGCAGCGGTATTTCTCATTTTGTGTTTTAGTTGAACTAAAATCCTTAGTCTCCAAGGTGATATAAGCTGATGAAAGATGTTGAAGAACTGTAATAAAATATTCATTGCAGGGGTTTGTTGTATAAAAAATTTTCTATCTTCTCTTTTCCTTTAACTGGTGATCCTTCTTTCAACAAACCAAATTGTTCAAGTGTGATTTTGCTGGATCTGGTGAATGAAGCGATTAAATCCGAAGTAAGTTTCTAAACTGCTCTATAATTGTTGAAGTGTTGCTTATTTTTTGTTCCAATTCTAGGTAAGAAGAAATAGACCAGGTGAAGGGAGGAAAAGCGGGTCTCAAAGGCAAGATCCATAAAGTCGCGCTTTCCATTCGTATTTGTTAACCATTCTTTTTTTCCGACCATTTAACTGCTGACAACAACCCTCTATTTTTTAGCATGCCATGGTTAAAATGACATTCACTTGGCTGGAACAAGGTTCAAATTTCATAATTTGGTATCTTTTTCTTCAGTGATACTACAGAATAGAAGAAAGATATGGTGCTGGTGTCTTCTCTGTTTCTCTTTGCATTTGGTTTGAATGTAAAAAAAGGTTACTTTAGTCCCAAAATTAATGATCAACTGACTAGATGTTCAACTACCTCAATCATGTTAAAAGCTTAATATTATTATATAACTTGTTTTCCTCATTGTTACCAGTTATTATTGATTGATTTATACAGAAACCCATTCTGTTAAGTAAAGTTGCTGGGTTTAGTCTTGGAGCTAGGTTTGGTCGACCAATAACTCTCTGCTTATTGGCTGACATTTCACAAAACTTCAAAAGAAAAACAATTTAGCGTACCAGTCTCTCGGGGAGGGTTAGATTTACTCAATTTTATCATGTATGCTGTGAGATTGTTTTCGTTACTCAAACTTGTGAAGTCCGTGTTACTATAGAACAATTTTAATGGAAGATAATGATTGGAACGGAGGCATATATATAAGATTTCCAATTCTAAGAAGTTACATTGGCCACTAAATTGTATTTAACGAGTTAGACGTTTATTATGTAAAGAAATATTTTATTTTTTTTGCATGATATTTTGGGTCAACTAATTTTTTTTTTTTTTTTGATACTGTAAATCCGTCTTGTAGCTATAAAATTTTGTCAGAATAATATAGAAAAAAAAGTTCAAAATAAATACATTTGACTTAATTAGTGAATATGTACATCAAGTTAATGTAATTCAATGAAGCACAATCCATCATCAACCTTATCACTCCAATTCTCTTTTAGCAATTCACCAAAATATATGAAAATTGAATGACCGACAACATAAGTCGGATTCACTCAAGCATAAAGAAGGAATAAAAATTACAGGTATATAAAAGATGACAATCATACATAGCAAATAATTTTTACATGAAAGCACTCTCGGGAAAAAGCATGGGACCATTCCTGGCCTACATAACCTAATCTACTAGTTTCAAATTTATATTACAAGTATAAGACGTATACCTCAATTAATTCCATTGTTAGAAGCTTTCTCCCTTGATTCTTCACTCCAGAAATCCATCGCAAGCGTCGTGACAACTAGCTCCAAGTTATGTCCTTGGAATACTCTTTATTCTCCTTTCGAATCCTCCTATTAATCCTTTTGATGAGTTTTCAAGATTTTCAACAACAGATGCTTAAATTCTCATAAATATCAATGTTGATCATGAAGGAATTGAGCTTTTGATCTTATCTAAGTGTGTGTTTTCTCTTGAACAAGTAGCCTCTCTTAAACCCTAGAGTCCCTCTTTTTCACTCCCTTAAAGGGCTATTAGGTCATAAGAATCCTCATCTATTTGTAGGAATATGAAACAACAGGTAGATTACTGTGCAAATAATTTTTTTCCATGACGCAATGCTTAAGCTCTGTGGCGGTCAGAGAATGGTGGCTATTGAAAATCAAAATTGCAGCCAACCCTTAGGCAGCGCTTGAGCGCTGGTCTTTGGAATTAAAATTTCATGCCCTGCTCTGAGAGCGCTTGGAGAGTTCTATCCACTGGTTTTTTTCCGAAAACCCAAGGTTCTAAATCAACTCTCTAAGTATTATATACTCCATCCAAAAACTCATTTCAAAAAGACGGAATTCAAAATACTCACACCTTAAATCTAATTTTACAGCCTCAGTCAAACCAAACTAGGCCAACTAAGTGTCTAGGTTAACTTAACTCAACTAAGCTTGATAGGATTGCATAAGTCGTCAATGTATTGTTTGTAAATTAAGCTCCTTCACCGTATCTTGTTTTGGTCTTCAACCTTCAATAGCCTCATGAAATTCGTTAATTACAATATGTTCTGAATACTCCGTTTGATAGGAAGGATGAAAAGTAGAAGAAATACACTTTCTTTCATTCAAGGAAGAAAAATAAGAATAGTATATTTTTCTTTCTTTGTGTTTGGTTAGATGAATGGAAAATAAAAATAACTAATATTTTTTTTTTGTGTGTGCTGACTAAAATTAGGAGTGACAATAGAATCGTGTCGTGTCAGATTTGTGTTGAGTCATTATGAGTTCGTGTCGAACATTAGTCATACATAACTCAATTTATTTAACTAATTGCATCGTGTCGAGTTGAGAGTTGACCTGTTTATTTTCGTGTCGTGTTCGTGTTCGTGTTGACCCACATAAACTTTGAATAGAAAATTTAAAGCTAATATTCTATTTCATTTAATTGACTCCATATATATAGACAAATAAGATACATTTCAACATAAATAATTAACTTTTCATCTATTTTTCTTCCGATTTTAGAGGGATTGATTTTGGTGAGTTGAAATGAAAGTTAATTCATTCACTTTTTCATTCTTCCTATTTTCCTTATTTACCAAACATGATGTTTTATTTATTTTTCTAACTTTCATCATTCTAACTTTCCATCCTTTCATTTTTTTTCATCATACTAAACGGAACATAACAATCTCCCTTTTGCTAACTTCTTGACAAAACATACAAAATAAAAAAATTACAAGATTACGAGTCGAAAATCACAACAAAAATTGAATCATAACCCTAACTTCTAAACTCAAGTACAATGTCATTTTCTTTCATTCTAATCATAAGACTCATACTCATCAATATGAACTGTAGAAATAACTAAGTCCTACAAAAACAAACACTAAACACAAAATCTCGTGAAACATATGGAGCATTTAAAAAATAAATTATTGTCACAAGTAAGTCTAAGTGATCAAAGCACTAAGAACGATAATCTATATGCATGTATGCAGAAAATATACACACAAGCAATCATATAAATATATTGTCACTCAAGAAAAGTTCACTTATATTCAAGAACCAATAAGCATGAAAATTAAAAAGAAATGGTTCTCCCCTTTTGTAAGTGCTCTTAACAAAGAAAAGTAAAATTCAGCAACGAAAAATTCGCCACCTCTATGGACTTAATCCCCCTTATCATTCAAAAATAAATAAATAAAATAAAAAAATCAATTTTTCACAAAATTGGTGGCGGTCAACTAGACAACTTCTAGTGGGTTGTGATCAAACTGGATTATTAGATACTTAATGATTTTTCTTTCTTATTTTTTTAACTCGTGGGGCTTGAACCTGCCTACCTTAAATTAAATTAAACTATAAAAAAAAAATAATGAAATTAAAGCCTAAGCTAATTAATATCTGTGGGCCCATACTATATATTTGTTTCTGTACTATACTGCAGATCAGTATTAGGTTCTTCCTGGCTGCACATTATAATAATATCCTTGAACAGTTTAGAGATTGGCTTGAACATTCAGAAAAGGCATCAACAAATNGTTGTTTATGGCTTGTTTTGATTCATTTCTGCCAAATGTTAAAAAAAATATGAAGGTTTGTGCAGCGGTATTTCTCATTTTGTGTTTTAGTTGAACTAAAATCCTTAGTCTCCAAGGTGATATAAGCTGATGGAAGATGTTGAAGAACTGTAATAAAATATTCATTGCAGGGGTTTGTTGTATAAAAGATTTTCTATCTTCTCTTTTCCTTTAACTGGTGATCCTTCTTTCAACAAACCAAATTGTTCAAGTGTGATTATGCTGGATCTGGTGAATGAAGCGATTAAATCCGAAATAAGTTTCTAAACTGCTCTATAATTGTTGAAGTGTTGCTTATTTTTTGTTCCAATTCTAGGTAAGAAGAAATAGCCAGGTGAAGGGAGGAAAAGCGGGTCTCAAAGGCAAGATCCATAAAGTCGCGCTTTCCATTCATATTTGTTAACCATTCTTTTTTTCCGACCATTTAACTGCTGACAACAACCCTCTATTTTTTAGCATGCCATGGTTAAAATGACATTCACTTGGCTGGAACAAGGTTCAAATTTCATAATTTGGTATCTTTTTCTTCAGTGATACTACAGAATAGAAGAAAGATATGGTGCTGGTGTCTTCTCTGTTTCTCTTTGCATTTGGTTTGAATGTAAAAAAAGGTTACTTTAGTCCCAAAATTAATGATCAACTGACTAGATGTTCAACTACCTCAATCATGTTAAAAGCTTAATATTATTATATAACTTGTTTTCCTCATTGTTACCAGTTATTATTGATTGATTTATACAGAAACCCATTCTGTTAAGTAAAGTTGCTGGGTTTAGTCTTGGAGCTAGGTTTGGTCGACCAATAACTCTCTGCTTATTGGCTGACATTTCACAAAACTTCAAAAGAAAAACAATTTAGCGTACCAGTCTCTCGAGGAGGGTTAGATTTACTCAATTTTATCATGTATGCTGTGAGATTGTTTTCGTTACTCAAACTTGTGAAGTCCATGTTACTATAGAACAATTTTAATGGAAGATAATGATTGGAACGGAGGCATATATATAAGATTTCCAATTCTAAGAAGTTACATTGGCCACTAAATTGTATTTAACGAGTTAGACGTTTATTATGTAAAGAAATATTTTATTTTTTTTNCTGTCACTAGGTCAGTCATTAGTAGTAGTGGGAGCGGTCATTTTAGTAATGGAAGTAGCAGCAAAGTTCCTGGTGAAGATTTTAAGGCTGAGAGCCCTGGGGAAGATGGAAGCTCAGATGGGAAGGATAAATCTACCAAGAAAAAATGGTTCAATCTTAACCTGAAAGGGTCTGATAAAAGGGCAAGTTGAAATTGTTTGGTTACTTTACTTGTATTGTTGGAAAAGCTTGGAATTCATACTTGTGTTCAAACACGAGCCACTGGTTTGCCGCCTGCTGAAGGCTCGCGATGTATTCCTTATTGATTTGCTCTCTACTCTGGGTTCTCCCCAAGGTTTTTTTTTTGTTTATGGCTTGTTATGATTCATTTCTGCGAAATGTTAAAAAAAATATGAAGGTTTGTGCAGCGGTATTTCTCATTTTGTGTTTTAGTTGAACTAAAATCCTTAGTCTCCAAGGTGATATAAGCTGATGAAAGATGTTGAAGAACTGTAATAAAATATTCATTGCAGGGGTTTGTTGTATAAAAAATTTTCTATCTTCTCTTTTCCTTTAACTGGTGATCCTTCTTTCAACAAACCAAATTGTTCAAGTGTGATTTTGCTGGATCTGGTGAATGAAGCGATTAAATCCGAAGTAAGTTTCTAAACTGCTCTATAATTGTTGAAGTGTTGCTTATTTTTTGTTCCAATTCTAGGTAAGAAGAAATAGACCAGGTGAAGGGAGGAAAAGCGGGTCTCAAAGGCAAGATCCATAAAGTCGCGCTTTCCATTCGTATTTGTTAACCATTCTTTTTTTCCGACCATTTAACTGCTGACAACAACCCTCTATTTTTTAGCATGCCATGGTTAAAATGACATTCACTTGGCTGGAACAAGGTTCAAATTTCATAATTTGGTATCTTTTTCTTCAGTGATACTACAGAATAGAAGAAAGATATGGTGCTGGTGTCTTCTCTGTTTCTCTTTGCATTTGGTTTGAATGTAAAAAAAGGTTACTTTAGTCCCAAAATTAATGATCAACTGACTAGATGTTCAACTACCTCAATCATGTTAAAAGCTTAATATTATTATATAACTTGTTTTCCTCATTGTTACCAGTTATTATTGATTGATTTATACAGAAACCCATTCTGTTAAGTAAAGTTGCTGGGTTTAGTCTTGGAGCTAGGTTTGGTCGACCAATAACTCTCTGCTTATTGGCTGACATTTCACAAAACTTCAAAAGAAAAACAATTTAGCGTACCAGTCTCTCGGGGAGGGTTAGATTTACTCAATTTTATCATGTATGCTGTGAGATTGTTTTCGTTACTCAAACTTGTGAAGTCCGTGTTACTATAGAACAATTTTAATGGAAGATAATGATTGGAACGGAGGCATATATATAAGATTTCCAATTCTAAGAAGTTACATTGGCCACTAAATTGTATTTAACGAGTTAGACGTTTATTATGTAAAGAAATATTTTATTTTTTTTGCATGATATTTTGGGTCAACTAATTTTTTTTTTTTTTTGATACTGTAAATCCGTCTTGTAGCTATAAAATTTTGTCAGAATAATATAGAAAAAAAAGTTCAAAATAAATACATTTGACTTAATTAGTGAATATGTACATCAAGTTAATGTAATTCAATGAAGCACAATCCATCATCAACCTTATCACTCCAATTCTCTTTTAGCAATTCACCAAAATATATGAAAATTGAATGACCGACAACATAAGTCGGATTCACTCAAGCATAAAGAAGGAATAAAAATTACAGGTATATAAAAGATGACAATCATACATAGCAAATAATTTTTACATGAAAGCACTCTCGGGAAAAAGCATGGGACCATTCCTGGCCTACATAACCTAATCTACTAGTTTCAAATTTATATTACAAGTATAAGACGTATACCTCAATTAATTCCATTGTTAGAAGCTTTCTCCCTTGATTCTTCACTCCAGAAATCCATCGCAAGCGTCGTGACAACTAGCTCCAAGTTATGTCCTTGGAATACTCTTTATTCTCCTTTCGAATCCTCCTATTAATCCTTTTGATGAGTTTTCAAGATTTTCAACAACAGATGCTTAAATTCTCATAAATATCAATGTTGATCATGAAGGAATTGAGCTTTTGATCTTATCTAAGTGTGTGTTTTCTCTTGAACAAGTAGCCTCTCTTAAACCCTAGAGTCCCTCTTTTTCACTCCCTTAAAGGGCTATTAGGTCATAAGAATCCTCATCTATTTGTAGGAATATGAAACAACAGGTAGATTACTGTGCAAATAATTTTTTTCCATGACGCAATGCTTAAGCTCTGTGGCGGTCAGAGAATGGTGGCTATTGAAAATCAAAATTGCAGCCAACCCTTAGGCAGCGCTTGAGCGCTGGTCTTTGGAATTAAAATTTCATGCCCTGCTCTGAGAGCGCTTGGAGAGTTCTATCCACTGGTTTTTTTCCGAAAACCCAAGGTTCTAAATCAACTCTCTAAGTATTATAGTCTCCATCCAAAAACTCATTTCAAAAAGACGGAATTCAAAATACTCACACCTTAAATCTAATTTTACAGCCTCGGTCAAACCAAACTAGGCCAACTAAGTGTCTAGGTTAACTTAACTCAACTAAGCTTGATAGGATTGCATAAGTCGTCAATGTATTGTTTGTAACTTAAGCTCCTTCACCGTATCTTGTTTTGGTCTTCAACCTTCAATAGCCTCATGAAATTCGTTAATTACAATATATTCTTAATACTCCGTTTGATAGGAAGGATGAAAAGTAGAAAAAATACACTTTCTTTCATTCAAGGAAGAAAAATAGGAATAATATATTTTTCTTTCTTTGTGTTTGGTTAGATGAATGGAAAATAAAAATAACTAATATTTTTTTTTTGTGTGTGCCGACTAAAATTAGGAGTGACAATAGNCTTTGTGTTTGGTTAGATGAATGGAAAATAAAAATAACTAATATTTTTTTTTTGTGTGTGCTGACTAAAATTAGGAGTGACAATAGAATCGTGTCGTGTCAGATTTGTGTTGAGTCATTATGAGTTCGTGTCGAACATTAGTCATACATAACTCAATTTATTTAACTAATTGCATCGTGTCGAGTTGAGAGTTGACCTGTTTATTTTCGTGTCGTGTTCGTGTTCGTGTTGACCCACATAAACTTTGAATAGAAAATTTAAAGCTAATATTCTATTTCATTTAATTGACTCCATATATATAGATAAATAAGATACATTTCAACATAAATAATTAATTTTTCATCTATTTTCCTTCCGATTTTAGAGGGATTGATTTTGGTGAGTTGAAATGAAAGTTAATTCATTCACTTTTTCATTCTTCTTATTTTCCTTCTTTACCAAACATGATGTTTTATTTATCTTTCTAACTTTCATCATTCTAACTTTCCATCCTTTCATTTTTTTTCATCATACTAAACGGAACATAACAATCTCCCTTTTGCTAACTTCTTGACAAAACATACAAAATAAAAAAATTACAAGATTACGAGTCGAAAATCACAACAAAAATTGAATCATAACCCTAACTTCTAAACTCAAGTACAATGTCATTTTCTTTCATTCTAATCATAAGACTCATACTCATCAATATGAACTGTAGAAATAACTAAGTCCTACAAAAACAAACACTAAACACAAAATCTCGTGAAACATATGGAGCATTTAAAAAATAAATTATTGTCACAAGTAAGTCTAAGTGATCAAAGCACTAAGAACGATAATCTATATGCATGTATGCAGAAAATATACACACAAGCAATCATATAAATATATTGTCACTCATGAAAAGTTCACTTATATTCAAGAACCAATAAGCATGAAAATTAAAAAGAAATGGTTCTCCCCTTTNTCGATCTGGTCTAATTTTCCCTAAAGAATATATTTTGTACATGAGAATAACTCTATCTAAGTTAACTTACAGTTTACTATATGCTACAATCTCATTTTTATATCATTCTATCGTTAGCGTTTAGATAACATTAAGATTTTTCTTTTCATCAATTTAGTGAGCATGCACCATGGCTTCTAAAACATGAACTGCAGAGAGCAAGTAGCTGTTTCAAACTAGGGCTCATTAAGGTTTGGCAGATTTTCAAATTGGTATGGTCTAATTTGACCGCTAGAATCTTTGTATCTTAAAAAAGGATAATTTAGTATATGAAACTTCCATTATCACGACATGTAAGGATGGTCTGAAATATGTAGTCTTAAGATTGCATTTTCATGTCTCATTAATGAAAATTGTTTTGGGGTGACAGATGGTCCAAATGATCATACAAAACCTTGAGTAAGTGTAACTTTGACTTAGCCCCTACCNACAAAAATAATGAAATTAAAGCCTAAGCTAATTAATATCTGTGGGCCCATACTATATATTTGTTTCTGTACTATACTGCAGATCAGTATTAGGTTCTTCCTGGCTGCACATTATAATAATATCCTTGAACAGTTTAGAGATTGGCTTGAACATTCAGAAAAGGCATCAACAAATAAAATTAAGTTACAATAACTTACAATAATGGGTTACATTAATAGATCAGAAAACTGTCATCTTAGGTTATCTGTTTCAGACTTGGTATATAGATATAGTATCTAAACTTAAAAAAACACATAGATGACCTAATGTACTACATGCACAAGTCACTTGAAAACAACTAGAAGTTCATTTCTTTAGTTCAAAACAACTTGTCTTGACCTCTGTTGAATCACAGGCCTTTGTTAGTTTATATTATGACCAATTTGCATAAACTAGTACAGTTCTATTATGGGACAAATGCCTCCAAGATTCAAAGATTGTTTATCTTATAAGTCCCTTCCTTAAAGTAGGCACATCATGTTGAGATGGGTTTAAGAAAGCTGAACTCTTTTTCTAAGATCCAGTCCCACACACACTCACAGAGAGAGAAGGAGAGAGAGAGAGAGAGAGAGAGATGGGTTGTAAAGGCTAGATTCTCTGCTTGGCCACAATNTAAAGTAGGCACATCATGTTGAGATGGGTTTAAGAAAGCTGAACTCTTTTTCTAAGACCCAGTCCCACACACACTCACAGAGAGAGAAGGAGAGAGAGAGAGAGAGATGGGTTGTAAGGCTAGATTCTCTGCTTGGCCACAACNGTTGTGATCAAACTGGATTATTAGATACTTAATGATTTTTCTTTCTTATTTTTTTAATTCGTGGGGCTTGAACCTGCCTACCTTAAATTAAATTAAACTATAAAACAAAAATAATGAAATTAAAGCCTAAGCTAATTAATATCTGTGGGCCCATACTATATATTTGTTTCTGTACTATACTGCAGATCAGTATTAGGTTCTTCCTGGCTGCACATTATAATAATATCCTTGAACAGTTTAGAGATTGGCTTGAACATTCAGAAAAGGCATCAACAAATAAAATTAAGTTACAATAACTTACAATAATGGGTTACATTAACAGATCAGAAAACTGTCATCTTAGGTTATCTGTTTCAGACTTGGTATATAGATATAGTATCTAAACTTAAAAAAACACATAGATGACCTAATGTACTACATGCACAAGTCACTTGAAAACAACTAGAAGTTCATTTCTTTAGTTCAAAACAACTTGTCTTGACCTCTGTTGAATCACAGGCCTTTGTTAGTTTATATTATGACCAATTT